AGGCCAAATTACTATCCTCTTGGCTTCTGCTCCTGACCCTGGCACTGTGTCTGGTTTTTTGGGGGGCAATATCACCTCCTTGGAACTTTCCTTTATTAATAAAGGAATGAAATGGTAACATATGTCTTTTCTGATTATAAAAATAGTAAAGGTATTATAGTAATGGGTAGTGTAGAGTATAGTTCAGCTATATAACCTTCCTCAGTAAAGTCTTTAAGGGTTAATAAATATGGTGTGCTGGTATTTCCACACCTCTTAGGACCAGGAGTTCCCATGTGGACTCAGCGAGGCCTACATGAGCACTGCTTCCCTAACCACCACCATTTGTCCTGTTCAGTATGCACGCACAGACAGCTGTAATAGTCATGTGTAATGTGTTTTGGAGTGCAGTGTATTTGCTCTTTTCTGAAACTTTTTCCCTTTCTTCTTTTTTTGTCAACTTTCTGCATTGGCAGAGCATCTTGGGATTGAATTTATGGGTATGGACCAATCATCATTCCTTTTAGCCTGCAGAATGTAGAGCCTATGAGCTGAAATCTTTTTCCCTTCCTACTCTTACTTTTCAGTTCCTAACTAATTTCCTTTTTCTTTAGAAGGGATCATACAGCCATAACAATGATTTCTCTGCTTTTACTCAATGATTAGTTTACTGAAATGTTACTGAGTGCAGCAGTTTTTAAATTCCCAAGCTACCTTCACTCAGAGCTTAAAATCTTCCCCATGCATTGTAAATTCATATAGATCCCACATTGTGTGACCCACTGATTGGAACTGGCTATGCTGTTGTTTAAAAGCTGGGGTGAGTTGGAGTGATACATAGGATACAGGAGAATCAAACCAGTGGTCTGAAAACAAAAGAAGCTTTAAATGCATCCATTTACAAGAATAGTACTTCTTAGATTAATGGACATTTGACATACAATATAAAAATCATCTATTTAGTAACAGCACAGAAAACCCTTACACTGCAATACAGTATTTTATGCACAGACTTGAATTACTCTAGTTTTCTGGAGATATTCAAGTGTGACTCTAGTCAACTTCATGATCTTATAAGCAAGGAAATAGAAAGCAGAAAGAAAGAAACCGTGTACTATTTTAGGTGGAAATTCCAGTGCTAATAGAATTAAATTTGTGTCACTGATTATTCAGATAAGTAATCAAATAGAAAACTTCACACTGTAAACATAAAATATGTCTCCTGTGAGCTGATAGAGTGTTGACATGCTCCTGAACACCTTCATCTTAAATAATTGGGTGTAAAGGCCAGTTCAGGGAAACACAGGGAGCTTTGCTACCTTGCCTGGTCTCCACATCACCAGACAAACCTCCTTCTAAACACTGTGTGCAGCCTGGAATGGGGTCTTGGGTCAGTAATGTCATGTCCTAATCAGTGGATTCTCTGATCCCATATTGCTTGGCTCCATGATGTCATAGAGCAAGGGCACAGCACAGCTGCTGCCTTCTCTTGGATGACAACACCACCACCTACCCCTAATGTACTTCCCATAAGCTCAATTAATTGCCTATTCCTCCCCAAAATTTTTCAGAAGAAAATTATTAATTTGATGGGCGGAAATCCCCACTGGAGAGCACAGAAGTTAGCATAACATTACTGTGGGATTTTTTTCCCTCCTGATTGAAAGTGTTCTGCTTCTGAAAAGCCTTGCAGTCTTGGCCTTTCCTGAAGGGAAGAAAAAAATCCCATCATCACACTTTACTTTTATCACAACTGAATTTTCCCACTGTATAGCTTTGGGGGGGTCTAACTACAGAATTTGATATTTCTGTTTCCAAACAATGAGGTCAAATAGATATTTAACTTCTTTCCCAGTAAGATCTTTCAAGGTTTAGCAAAGATGACCTGCTGGTATCAGGATTGCTCAAAGGCTCCATAGGTGAGTCCATTGCATCCTTAAAGAAAATTAGATCTTAAAGGTCAGTTAAAACTGAGAGAGGCAAGAGATCTATCTCTTGACCTGGACATATCAGACTGAAAAATGTGCTTAATTTGACTCACTATGATGAGTCCAGCCAAATTATAAGACTGAGAAGCATTTGCACTCATGGAGACAGACCCAACCATTGGAGTTAAAATAAGGGGGAGAAGAGAATAAAGGAACCCATACTTTTTGCTATTGACTACCAAGTATTTTTCCTTTAGCACATTCATACTGTTGAGGTCACCTGAGCTTGCAAAATCATGAAGATAATCAGAAGTTTAGGTGAGAAGCTTGTGATCAATGCTGATGTGACACAAAAGTTAATCCCATGTCAGTGTTCTATGGCTCTGACTTTAATTAGTTCACTGTAGGACTTTTACATACCTTTGTCCTTTATTGAGCTACCTCTTCATTTTCATGAAGTAACCATTTTAGTGAACAACACATCTTCCTACATAACTGATGGAGAACAGGTCCATCATCAGATGCCATTTGTTCAAAAACTCAATTATTCTTTCATAACTAACAACGATCAAAAGACAACTCATCAAGGATCCTTGAGGGTGCCATCCCCTGCCACCCCATCCTTGCGTGTGTTCCCGTTTTCCAAGTTTACAGATTCTCAGCTTTTTCTAAAGTTAGAATGTTAATGTTAGGACATCAGTGAAAAAGGACAACCAAGGCCTTACCTTTTTTCTTTTTTCTTTGTGGGCATGGAGATTGGATCCAAGACCTCCTGCATGTTAGGCAAGTACTCTACCACTGAGCTACATTCACAGTCCCAATCTCATCATTTTAAAACAAAACAACAACAACAAAAAAATAGAATAAATTAAAGAAGACAGGAAAAAGCAGGGCCTTCCTCTTCTTGGCAACAATACTACTCTTATTTCTTAACTGAAGGAGCCCTGCTCTGTCTCCTGGGTCCATGGAGAAGGAGCAGCAGGGTGATACCTCTTTTAAATGTATACGCTAAACACTAATCAGTATGCCAAGGTCAGAGAGGGAAGCTATGGTGGCACCAGCTAACAGATAACATCTCATAAAAAATAATTCTCCATCTGGTGGCTAAGAGGGAGGGGAGGGAGCCAACACAAGCAATTAACATATAAGACTCACATTCCATGTCCTCGTTTGATTTTTGCGGCACCAAAGTTCACGACAGCAGCTATGTCTCCCGTACACTGCGGCACTGCAATGCACCAGCTGCTTTGCTTTCTAATTGTGGCTTCCACATGACTGCTGCCCAGGTTAGGAGTTATGCTGTATGGGACACCCTTCCAACTTTGCACCCCCTTTTCTTCCCACCCAAGCATCTCCTTCCTCCGGTTTTCTTTTATTTATTTATTTTTCCTCCCTTAGTATCAGGCATGCTGTGCCAGGGACTTCAGATGGCTCCCTAACTTTTAACCTTGTTTTCCCTTGTACTTGACTTCCTCACTCTCTGTCATTCTGTCAGTCTGTCTGTCCTCTTGGTTTGTTTTTCCTTTCCACTTCCAACCCTTTCAGTTTGTTTTTATATAATCTATGCAGCATTCTGGTCTTTTACCTACTGACTTCTATTCTCCTTCTCCTGTTAATTATTAGTGCTCTATTAATTTGATTTGACAATGTTCTTGACCTGTTAACTGGAATTTGATTCTTATGGGCTCGGCTTGTAGGAAATGTTTTGCTTAATGATAAGGTCCACTGTATCCTAGAAATTAAAATTCACTTTTTCATTTCAAGAAAACGTCCTGCAAGTTGCCCTCTTTTAATAGAGAAAAAGGTGTACCTGCTGAGACTGGGAACACATAATGGAAATATTCCTTGAGGGTCTCTTAATTGATGTCCAGATAAACCAACTCTGTTTTTTTTACCATATGCTCAAGTTCTTGACCAGCTTATTAAGTGTTGGCAAGTAAATAGTTCATGCTGTGTGCTGGGCACCAGTTGAGTTCTCTTCCTGAGTGAACTTGTGAAGATCTTCCAATAAATGTAATTAGAGTATTGGAAGCTCAGTTCCTAAGGGATCAGGGTCTCCATTAAGTCAACAAATCTTGTTAACAACCTGACCTACCTTAGAATAATCAGGTTATCTTCCAAAGAAACTAATTTGCTAATAGAAATTTTTCCATGAATTAGAGATTGATTGCATTTGGAATACAGTAGTACCTTTAGTTCAAAGTTCTAAGCACCATACTTCCTTAGTAGAATATCTATTAGCTAATTTGCCAAGTTGGCCAAAGTAGGAATGTCCAATCCACTCCAAATTATACACTATTTGTGCTAGTGACTGACTTCTTCATACAAATAAATTAGTTCTGTAAGGTCAACTAATGAAGTAATAATCATTGTCCCCTTAAGAACAAATCTTCCTTTTGGCTCAGGACTGCCTTAACCGTCATAGTAGATTTTCTCTGATACAGTGCCCTGCTACTCCATATTGGATTGCTCTTATGTTTCACATTTTACTGTTAAACCTTAGAAATATTGCCTTAATTTACTTTCTAACTACAAGCCAAGTTCCTGCTTGTAAATGTCTTTGAATTTAATATTTAAGTTAGAAGTGTCTCTTTGTAAAGACCACTGGATATAAGTTGATGATATAAATATAAGAGGCTTCAGGTAGAGGGTGGAGAAGGGAGGAAGGAAGAAGGGACGGTCTGGTGCCAATACTACTCCTTTCATTGATCTTGATCCCTGTTGTCTTTGCAAGAGATTTTTATTTTTTATTTCATTATCTTATTGTAAGAGATTAAAACATAAAATCTAGAGTTTTAACGGAATCGTTATTTCATAATTAATGCTTATGACATTCCAGTTTAATATCACATTTACAACCATAGTAATAATTAGAGTAATTATAGAGTATAATATTCTTTCAGTGGCCAAAGCTGGCTTTTTTTGTAGGGAAAGCATGTTGTACCTTAAACATGTCTGTAAACTTAAAGAATTATTGAGTACTTATGTTCTTGTGAATATGGGAAATGCCATGCAGCATGCCAACTGTCCAGTTGTAATGTGTCCCAGCAACTGTAAGTGACCTTGGTGACATCTGCTCTCACCCCTTTCCAGAAGCGGAGGAGCTCTACCAGAAGAGAGTGGTGACAATAACTGGCATCTGCATCGCCCTGCTGGTGGTCGGCATCATGTGTGTGGTGGCCTACTGCAAAACCAAGTAAAGCCTCCTCCCCGACACACCTCTCCTTAGTGCAGAGTTAGCTTAGGCAGTCAGGGCTCTGCAGACCCCAGGCTCTGCACCTGAGTCTTGGGGAGAAAAAGGGTAAAGGGATGTTTTCCCCTTACTTTTCCCTCTGAATAATGTATTTTGACCTTTCCTAGTCATATACATTGAGAAGCTTTGCCATTTGTATACAAGTGATCAGGACATTTCTAAGTGACTATAGCTCTGGGGATGGATAAAGGTTTGGAGGGACAGGCATGCATGTGTATATCTGCACATGTGTTTGCATATACACATACACACATAGACACCACATACTCAGAGAAGTGTGTAGGTGCCAAAAGTGTAGTAGGCACATCATTACTGAGGACAAGTTCAATTTGCACACAAACTTAGGAAATAAAGGAGATACTTGGTGGTATTTGAAATGCAGTTTTCTGAAAGTCAAAATATGTTTCTATTGTATTTAATTAAGTTGCCGTTTAGTATAAGTGCTTTTACATTGTGAGGTGCACAAAGGAATCTCATGGGAGGAAATTCAAGCAAAATTTGCTTTGAAAGAATTAGAGAAAACTTTTAAATAGATTTGTGGGCCCTATATTTGGCCTTTTAAGTTTCATCCATATTAACAAATACATTTACTATTTGAAATGAATTCCCTTCACTTTTCTTTCCTACATATAATCTCCACTTTGAGTCTGAAATAATGTTGAATTAACATGTTTTGTGTGTGTGTGTGTGTGTGTGTGTGTGTGTGTGTGTGTGTGTGTGTGCCTGGTAAGACACTCTTTTGCTAAAACTGATCATGGGGATATTATCATGATCTCAGTGTTGCATTGAGAAATGAAAATAATACACTTTTATATCACAAAATCAAGACGAGGGATTGGGTTTTCTCAGTATCTCATTATTAAGCATGTTGTCAGAATGGAGTAAGTGATAGAGGTAAGCCTTCATGGAGCTGACCTCATAAGTCTTACTGGCTTCGATCTCAGTATTCACCATCTACTTATACAAAAAGCATTACAAAAGTAGGATCATGTTACAATTATGCCAACATCTAGTGACAAAATATGTTCATGATTTCACTCATATACATGTGATAAGTGTACACATTCAAAGCTAAGTTCATTTTCGTAAGAAACCTATAGGAAAAGCTATAAATGCAATCAAGCAGTATCAATTTTACAGCAGAACTTGCTCTCTAAGACAAATGACCATCTGTAAGATTTAGGCAAAGATGGGTTGATTAAGAAAGTCTGGATTTTAGCCAAATATCAACATATTTATTTTCTCCTCCATTTTCTCTTTGTCCCTTAGTAAAAATTCTAAGTTTCTGGAAGAATCCCATGTAGCTTTTTCAACCTGTTTGCTAAGGATGTGTGATTTCACTTATCCTGACATGGAGTAATATATGTTGTTGCCCTCTTCCTCACCGCCAAGTCCACTGCCTCAAGTTACTCAGGAGTGTTAGGAGAAGAAAGACTTGGCTCTACTAAGAAATGTAGAGGAGCTGGTCTCCCATCCCTGCACTTCCAGCAGGAGGTGCCTTTTCTTTCTTCTTCTTTAAGTTTCTCCCTACTTTATTTAGCAAATAAATCCTTGCTAAAACTTCCCCAAAAAATGTCATCATAGGGAAAAATAAATACTCCCTTTTTCCATATTCAGGAAACAGCGGAAAAAGCTTCACGACCGGCTTCGGCAGAGTCTCCGGTCTGAACGAAACAACATGGTGAACATAGCCAACGGGCCTCACCATCCCAACCCACCCCCCGAGAACGTTCAGCTGGTGAATGTATGTTGACTGTGGCTGGTGGGAAACTGAACATCTCTATTCCATTCAGGCGCCTTGAAGTTTATTTTCTAAAGCTCTTAGGCTCTCAGCTGCCACCATTAATCTGCATAGCTTCCAGGAAATGAGGTTTTGCCAGGAGAAAATAATGGGAACATTTTTTAATGGATTTGGTTACTGTAAAACCAGCACATTTCCTCTTATGAAATGTTCATTAAGGAGTTGGGATAATAACATTGGGTTTGTTCTCCATGGAAGCCAAACCTGAGGAAAACAACAAAACAAAGAAAAATGTTAAAATTATTACAACCACAATCAGAAGCAATTTTTTAAATAATTTGGAAATTAAGGCTACCCAAGTCTATAATCAATTAATAGCGACAAATGAGCAAAGACCTCTGAGGTATTTTTATTAGGGGTACTTCACAGTGCCTGAAATCATTCTGATTTCTAAAGGAAGAACTCAGGGCACAGAAAGGTCAAGTGACTCAAACATGCGTCTTAGCAGCAAAGCTAGGTGACAGTATTGCTTGCTCATGGCCTGGCTCCTATGTGATGTCAAGCCCTCCAGATGAAATGTGTCCTTAATCATCCAAATATTTTGTTTATACTTTACCAAGCACTTGGCTTTTAAATTCAACTGGATCATAGAATACTCAACTCTGAAGACTGTTTACATATCATCTTCCAAACCTCTCTTTTTTATAGATAAGGGCCAAAGCCGTACTCAGATCTCCTGGCTTTTGAAGTATTGCTCAAGCAATACTATTCCAGCATAATCCTTATGTTTTTTCCATTTTCCTCTGATGTATGGTTTTTTAATAGACCAAGCTTGAAGGTTGTTTTGCAGTATTTTTTATTCTGTAGAAAAATGTGTACTGTGAGTGAAACAGATATATCATAGACCCAAGACTGGAACTAGTAATCACTTAACTGCCACCAAGTCTTATAGCAAGGAGCTCTGGGAGACTGTTGGAGTAAGGTACTAATAGGCTAACATACTCTGTTGCTTGCTTCCCCTTAACGGTAGATGGGAATATTCTACAGGGTTGATAAATGCACTCACTACCAATATAACCAAAATCTGTCACTACCTATGTTATAATATATGTTACTTACCATGACTACCTGGATTCCAATTATGGCTCAAATGATATAATTTCAGAATGTAACCTTTTTCAACCTTATTTCATTATCCATACAAGCCTAAAAATAATACATACTTCAAAGATTCCTTGTGAGCAATAAACTAATTTACATGAAATATTTAGCCCCATGGCACTCTGCATTCAATAAATGTTCATTATTATTTTCATGAGCTTAGTTGGTCTTAAGTTCCTTCCCAAGAAGCAAGAGTAGAATGTACACAGATGAGAAATAGGTCACTGTATTTTTTCCTTAAAGCAAAGTATATACACTTCCCAGGAACAGTCTTTCCATAAACAGAACCAGCCAACATTTCAATCATTATTCAAGTTGTATATTTGGGGACTTCCATGAAGTTATTGAGTTCTTTAGACTCTATAGCTCGTCAGACTAGAAAGCGCCCTATTTTATCAAGGAATATTTCTTTCCATTTCTTTTCCTGTTATTTAACTCAACTTCTTAGAAATACTAATAGGTTTAAAAACAACCTCAAAACAACTTTTAAAGTACAACTTTTCACTGATGATAGAAGGCAGGAAAGCTACTGTGATTTGCTGATGGAAATAACTGCACTAAATATAAGGCCTTCTATATATTCTGTGCTTTGTCAAAATGTATAACCTTGCAAACTTTGGTAAGCCCTTCAAATTTTTCAGTAGCTTTGTTAGTCTTGCCACTGACAAATTAAAAACTTCAATGATGTCAATAAGGCAACATGGGTACTATGAAATTGAAAAAGAAGGGTCGATCTAAAATACAAAAAATTTTAAATTTTTTTCTAGTGACTTGAAATTTGAACAAGAAAAACTTTGTGCTTTTGTTTCACTCAAACGTCAGTTAGCCTTCTTAACTTACAACAATAGTGACAATATTTACTAGACAAAATTTGTACTGAATTTTAGTCAGTGGGAATCAGTGGGAATGGAGAGAAGAAAGAAGTCTTTCTGATAAAATATAGTTGTGATTTTAGAACCTACATTGTGTGTATGTCCAGAAAGTAATTCATTAATTACATTCATCTAATCAAAAAGCCAGAGTATCCAAGAGAGGATTTATCATCTGGCCACTGGAGAAATGAAAGATATTATGAAGCATGAGTATAAGAATAGATCTGTTTGTATGACAATGTTTGTATTTTGATTTACATGAGTATTTAAGCTGTGTCTCTGTTTATCCAGCAATACGTATCCAAAAACGTCATCTCCAGTGAACATATTGTTGAGAGAGAAGTGGAGACATCTTTTTCCACCAGTCATTATACCTCAACAGCTCATCACTCCACTACTGTCACTCAGACTCCTAGTCACAGGTATGATTATAAAAAAAAATCCCATAGCATTCCTCTAAGAATAACATTTTGCACATTACCTTTTACTCTATGTACCAGACAATAGATCCTTAGGAGGAAGTAAAATGTACTGTCTTGGAACAGGCTTTGGACATCAGTTGTTTCTCGCCTTAATTTCTGGGTAAATCTGAGCTTCAATTTTTCCATTACCAAAAAAAAGGATGAATAATAAGTCCTACCCCACCAATTTACTGTTCCCCATTCTAGAAATTGTCTTCATTTATGCCCTGCTATTCACTGAGACATCTGTCTTGTATTCTGCATAATATTTAGAAGTTGATTTCTAAGACTTGGGTTGCCCTCAGAAATGCACATGAAAATCGGTGAACCCCAAATAGTTGAACCTTCAATTCTCATATGCCCTAGTGATCTCAAACTGATTGCCCTCTACCCAAAACAACACTAGAGCTCCAAGTGTAGCTCACACAATAAAGTGTTTAACCTAAGACATTCAAGAATAAAGAAATTGTAAGAAAGGTTAATACATAGAAGCATTTGATGAATATTTTTTGACTGAGTGAACAAATGAATAAACTGTATGTTCACCAACCCATTCTGAATCAAGATTCTCTTTATGGTATCTTTGTAACAATTCTATTCTTAGACAATGTAGTGAGCTATGGATGCATCATTTTGAATATCTGTCAGAATCACTTTCATTCAGAATTACTTTCATTCATTTCGATTTTTATACATAATTTTTTTCTCACTACCTCTCATGTTTTCCCACCATAGCTGGAGCAATGGACACACAGAAAGCATCATTTCAGAAAGCCACTCTGTAATCATGATGTCTTCAGTAGAAAACAGTAGGCACAGCAGCCCAGCTGGGGGCCCAAGAGGACGTCTTAATGGCTTGGGAGGCCCTCGCGAATGTAACAGCTTCCTCAGGCATGCCAGAGAAACCCCTGACTCCTACCGAGACTCTCCTCATAGTGAAAGGTAAAACTGAAGGGCAAAGCTACTGCCAAGGAGAACCTCAGTAAGAGAATCCCCATGAGCACCTGCGGTTCACCTAAGGAAATCTACCCAATCAGAATAAGGGGCAGCAGTTACCTGGTGCTCCTAGTTGATGAAGTCCTCCTTTTGTTTGACTGAACTCATTTCTCCTGAGCTGCTCACATCGTCCCAGAGGCTGACAGGCATCAGACTCTTAAGGAGATGGAGTGATTTGATGTGGAAGGTGCAGCAGACTTGGAATTCCCAGACCTGGCCATAAGCTCAGATCCACTCAGGGTCTCAGTTTCCTCAGTTCTAACCTTAGAGAAATGGCACCAATGCTTAATATGGACCATTCTCTAATTCCAATTTGCCAGTTATCCAAACTCTTAATTTGGTGGTTGAGCTGGCCTCATGCCCTCATGCACTAACTCTGTCTTACTTTCCAGCCTCAGTTAAATCAAATCAAGGGCTATGTCATTGCTGATGGTTCTGGGGAAACACATGCTTGTTTTCTACCCTATATTATCCCTTTTATGAAATTCCAAGAAGGGATGAATAAATAAATCTCTTGTATGCTGCGTCTGCCAATCTTCACAGGTGATTTTTAAAGCAGATATTGCCTTCAATATGGCCCTTTATTTCAGAATGTTTTGGCTTTCTTCTGGGGAGATTGGGTCGGGTTGAGGAATTAATCACAAAAGTAAAGAATGGAGGAAAGTAAACTGAATGATGTTAAATAGGAATATTGAATTCATTTATTCTTTTTATCCATTTTCACACCTATGCTGGAGGAGTTATGCCTAGTTAGCTTTTCAGATCATTGGTAAACTGTTAGCTCTTTGTTTTCCACCACTGGGTTTTGTTGTTGTTTTTTTTTCTTATTGTCATCTCAGCCTAATCTTTGACCACTTACTAAAAGGATTGGATAATACCAAGTTCATATTTATTTGGTGGTTACACGGGTGAAAGTGGTTTTGATCCTGTGATCAAGTCCTTTTTCCCTTATGATGGGGAATATAATACAAAAGGACCAATTTTGGCCTAGGTTATATAGAGCCTACTGATCACTTCTTCACTTTTTCCCAAAATGGCATTTCAGAACTGTGTGGAATTTATGGGATTAGTATTCTCACTGCACCCCATGTATGAAAAAATAGTCAGGGTTCAAAATTGACTTCAAACATTAGACTTGAATCCATGTAATTATGTCTTTATATATTAAAGATATTACCCATCATAATTCAGTCTTTTTTGAAACATGAAAAGGAGGTTAGGGGTAAAATCTTTCTTCATCACCACCTATGACGTTGATCTTTGAAGACTGACTTGTGCTTGCTGGATAGGCTTCTTTGCTTAACCCAGATACGATCTAGGACCACAAAATAGACCTGACCTGTAAGATCACAGGGAGAACAGATGAATCACTTCTGTGTGTTGGTTGAATTTGGATTAGCTTTTCTCAAAGATCTTAATTTAAGTACCTCACAAACAAAAAGTCTGCAGGTTCAAACTCCAAATATTTCAATCTCTGAACACTTTCCCATTTTACACACAGCTGGATCTCACGTCCATATCACTATGAGTCATAGAAAAGCAAGAAAGGTAATAGGCTTCCTCTTCCTGTTAGAGTTCAGCTAGTGGTGCTGTGTGTCATCACAGGTCACATCAAATTAGACTCTGTGAATGTCAGTGTGAAGAAAAGTCATTTAGTGCTATGCATCGGTGACATTTTTTTTTAATCAAAAGCTGAGAAATATGACTCATCCTCCTCAGTGCCAAAAGGCAGGCCATCTTATTCTGGGTAAGGAAGTGTGGTGTGGGAAAACAGTGCACTGAGCATCCTGATGGCAAGAACACTGAACAGTAACAGACATGGCATAACATAAAGTATCATGGTAAAGCCAACCTTTGAGCAGTCCCCAAGGATTGCTAGGCACTTCAGCTGATCTTTGCATGTGCACCTATGATGAAAGCAAAGGCCGATGAAGCAGTGGGTTTTGGAAGAGAGCTAGATTGCAGATTGGACATCATCTCCATTTGTAGTAAAAATGAAGCCAGGTTCTCTCAGGCTTGCCTTTGAATGTCTCAGACTCTGGGATTCAGAGATGCAAATTGAATGTTAACTAGTAGCATTTCATAAAAAAAAAAAATTAAAAGCACACAAATGTATTACACTGTTATCAGGAATAAATCTAAGTTACTATGCTCTTTTTTTTTCATAAGACATAACCTTATAGCTGAGCTAAGGAGACACAAGGCACACAGATCCAAATGCATGCAGATCCAGCTATCAGCAACTCATCTTAGATCTTCTTCCATTCCCCATTTGGGCTTCATTCTCTAAGACCCCTTGGCCTTTAGGAAGGTATAGTATTTAAGCAATACTTCTCTCCCTTCAAAATCCCTGAGCCTTGGTCCTTCTAAAGATGAGAGGTTTCCAGAACCTACAGTCCTGTTTTCTGGGCTCACATTCTTTTATTTAAACTCCTGATGAGATTGAAGATCCCCGAAGCTTTGATAAGCTAGACAATTTAGCTGATCTTTGCATGTACTCCTGTGAGGAAACTCTTGGCTACATAATTTTCGATTCCGAGGGTGCTGAATTTCCTAGTGTAAAAATGGAGACATATACAATGAAAATTGCGCTCTGAGTGCATCCTCTCATGAACCCTGTCCCCTTGCCCTCCCTGCTGTATGCCTCTTATTCCACCACACTCATGTGGGGTATTCTGTGCTCACACAGGTATGTGTCAGCCATGACCACCCCGGCTCGTATGTCACCTGTAGATTTCCACACGCCAAGCTCCCCCAAATCGCCCCCTTCGGAAACGTCTCCACCCGCATCCAGCATGACGGTGTCTATGCCATCCATGGCAGTCAGTCCCTTCGTGGAAGAAGAGAGACCTCTGCTTCTTGTGACGCCACCAAGGCTGCGGGAGAAGTATGACCAGCATCCTCAGCAATTCAACTCCTTCCATCACAACCCCGCGCATGACAGTACCAGCCTCCCCCCTAGCCCCTTGAGGATAGTGGAGGATGAGGAGTACGAAACGACCCAAGAGTATGAGCCAGTTCAAGAGCCTGTTAAGAAACTCGCCAACAGCCGGCGGGCCAAAAGAACCAAGCCCAATGGCCACATTGCCAACAGGTTGGAAATGGACAGTAACACAAGCTCTGAGAGCAGTAACTCAGAGAGTGAAACAGAAGATGAAAGAGTAGGTGAAGATACACCTTTCCTGGGCATACAGAACCCCCTGGTAGCCAGTCTTGAGGCAGCACCTGCCTTCCGCCTCACTGACAGCAGGACTAACCCAGCAGGCCGCTTCTCCACCCAGGAAGAATTACAGGCCAGGCTGTCTAGTGTGATTGCTAACCAAGACCCTATCGCTGTATAAAACCTAAATAAACACATAGATTCACCTGTAAAACTTTATTTTATATAATAAAGTATTCCACCTTAAATTAAACAATTTATTTTATTTTAGCAGTTCTGCAAATAGAAACAGGAATAAAAACTTTTATAAATTAAATATATGTATGTAAAAATGTGTTATGTGCCATATGTAGCAATTTTTTACAGTATTTCAAAATGAGAAAGATATCAATGGTGCCTTTATGTTATGTTATGTCGAGAGCAAGTTTTGTACAGTTACAGTGGTTGCTTTTCCACAGTATTTCAGCAAAACCTCCCATATATTCAGTTTCTGCTGGCTTCTTGTGCATTGCATTGTAATGTTGACTAGATGTTTGATTTACCGGACTTGCAGCTGTCACTCTGTTTGCTTGTCGTAGCACTCACCCGTATGTCTTGTAATGGCACATCCATCCAAATACTCTTTTGTACGAAGTTTTCTTTGCTTTCAGAGTATGAAATGAGTTGCATCTACTCTGCCAGCCAAAGGTTTGCTTCATGGGGCTCTGGGATAATAGTAGATTCAACAGCATGCTACTATCAAATACAGCAGGAAACTGCATTAAGTAATGTTAAATAGTAGGAAGAAAGTAATACTGTGATTTTAAAAAACTATATTAACAATCAGAAGACAGCTTGCTTTTGCTAAAAGGAGCTACCATTGACTTTATTCTTTTTTTTTCTTCTTCTTCTTTTTTTACAAAGAGCAACAGTTTTAGGGATAGCTTAGAAAATGGGTTCTGGCTTGCTATCAGGGTAAATCCAACAGCTTAGAAGAGGACTCAATTTCACTTTCTTTCTGTGGGAATGACCCAGCATCTAGTTTGAACAACAAATCACAACTGATAAAGGTGCAATCATTTCTGACCTATATTTTACACTGATGTAGAGCTGCCAATTGGCTGTGTCTTCCCAGCTCCAGAAAAAGCAGCTCATGGCACAAAAGAACCCAGCCCAGATTTAAACTCAGCAATCTGTCCAAAACACTCCTAGAATAAAAATGAGTCTGTCATACATAGTGGTGACTTGTCCCCATAGGAAAATGTTACCATGTTTAGAAGGAGTGAATGTGTAGAAATCACAGGTGGACAGCAGCTGTGTGACTTGGTTGGCAACTCTATCCTCTCCATTATGTTTCCTTTGTTTTTCAACGTTGCTTTGGTTGGTCCTAAATATACATGAACACTTCTTGTCAGGAATGGCCAATGTGCATATGATTTGTGATTAGGAAGAGTCTTCCATAGTGATGGCTCACTAGGAAATGCCAGTAATATTGGAAAGATAGCACATTTACTTGCAGAAGTGGCCCCCTCCTGTGGACTCACCTCTCCATTGGCAGCCTGTGTCACCCATTTTTCCCTCTCTTACTTTTGGCCTTACTGCTACAAAAACAGGTCTAAGAGTAGTCTAAATTCTGCATGTTCTCCTGTGATTACAAACCCACCCCAAGCCTATAGGATATTTGAAATAACTGCTCATGCAAGAAAATAAGAAAACTAACCAAAAAATGAAGAACCCATTTTATGCCCTCTGATGTCAAATCAGGACTGATACTTTGCTTAGTTCCAAGTGGCTTCCTAGGAGCCATGGGACAAAATGGGAAAGTGGTGAACTGGGGGTTCACAAAGTTGATGAGAATTACTGTTTTCTTGTTTTCAGGTGAACTGAGTCTATTTCTTCACCAGATCTTTAGTTACAAATTAAAGGGATGAAATGACAGGCAAGTAGGTCTTAGAATAAAAATGTTGGCTGGGCATGAGATAATATCATTATGCTCCCACATGTTTCTTCAATCCACAGAGATGCTTGTCTGCAGGTCCTCGAAGTTACTCTTACATTTGGTATCCCATGTCTTTTTCCAATGTACACATGCCACTTTCTTTGCTCAACATTGTCCTCCTTTGCTTTTTAACCCCCATGGAAGAGCTCCTTCAGGTTGCACTGATTTCCAAATCTGGAGAAATGAGTCAGCTTCATGGTATGGGGAAGACAGCCTGAAGAAGCTCTCCACTATTTTAACATTACCTTTCAAGGCCTTGACTCATTCTTCCATATTTCAATAAAGAAATCTCTATCACTATTTTTAAAACTCTTTAAACATCTGTTTCAAATTCTTTGGACCTTGAAGTATTCAGATGTCCCCTTCTGAAAAATAAGTAGAATCTTCTGATGAAAACATCATCCTCAGTACAACAATTGCTGTACATTTTCAAATTGCAAATATCTAAGAAATTTTATTTCCAGCCTGATTCTGGTCACTTACAGAGGTGGCATATTAGTTGAGACAGCCTTTCTCCCTGTGGAACAAGAGCTTCCTTTGATAAGAAAGCCAGCTGGCTGCTCAGGGCTACTTGCTACAGCTGCCAGATTTATGTTCATTGGGACCTCACTGTGATGCTTCATTGCTACATCACTTCAATCATCCCTGTTTATAAATTCAGGCATTCTCGTGGCAATCCAAAGGAATACGAACCTATGCTCCCAGCATATGGAAAGCTGTCTTGGGTGTTAAGGTAGTGAAAATTGCCCAGAACTTTGACAACCACTTTGTTTCCTGGGTCTGAAATCATATCCACTGAGGGGTGTGCAGTGGACCCCAGTTTATGCAAAACTCCTTTGTTCTCACTCAAGATTCATGTTCTGTTCTTTCCTTTTTTATTTCTTTTATTCCAAGAGTGCCTGGTGGACAGCCTTTTGCTTTGTACAAAATGGTCCTCTGTGTAGGAAAATATGTCCCAAGCAGCAATATGCCATCTCTTTGTTGTTTCCGTGTGACTGTCTTGACATAGGTGGAGTTGGATCCAGGGTAACTTGCTCAGTAACTAATGCTTTTTTTTTTTTGAAGTGGGGTCTGAGTTTGTATGGTATATGTCTCACATTAGTGAACATAAGAAAGGCCTAGTCTTATGTTTTAGTACTGGCTGCATTCCTCCAGCCACAGAGATTTCTATCCACAAAGACCACGAAACACGGCAGCGAAATGCAGACGAAATGAAATGGCCACATATCACAAGTTCTATTATATATTCTTTTGTAAATACATATTGTACATTACTCCGATGTTTCCTTAAATCATTTGCTGTCTTTATGAGTTAATGTCAGTTATTACTCTCTCTCAGATTACTGTGTAACATTGTAAATAGCATAATGTCCTTTTATTATTTATATTTAAGCATCTAACATAGAGAGAGAATTGTTTTCATATAAGTTTATGATATATGTTAAAAATATATGTTTTTCTTTGCTTTAAAATTATGTACCTTTTTCTCTTACTTTTTTGTTAAGAATAATTTATTGTTCAAGAGAAAGAATGTATATGTAATTGAAACTATTTGAAGAACGCACATTTGAAGGCCGTGAGGTACTGATAAACTAAAGAATTTATTATCCAAAATACTAAGCAATAAGTAATTGTGATTTATTTAAAGTTTTGTTTCCCAAGAAAGTCATACTGCAATAAAAAATGCTATCTGTGGAGACTCGGACGTGTTGCTCAGCAGACTAATGTTTCAGTCTGTTAGACCAGCACCTTCTGTCTTGCTGTGACAGCCGTACTAATGTAGGAATGTATTCCATGGACCCCATGATCATCTTGTCTGTCTGTTGCTTTTGCCACACTGCCCATCCTTGAGTCATCTGCTACCTGATTCTGTTTAGCACTTTATTCCTTTTTGAAAGGGCCACACAGTCAAGTAATAGGATATTTCCTTTCCTGCCCACTCCTCCTCCCATACACAGTGACGTCAGAGAGAAACATTTCAGGACATGACTACCTGGAACCTGTTTGTTGGTATGTTCTACATTGGCAGCCAGAGACTTCTTCAGATTAATGAAAATGTCAATGGGCCAATCCCATTCAATCATGAAAGAGGAAAAAAAAAATCTATCATGAGTCAAATGGTTCAATGGCCACACTGCCCTAAATGGCAGCCATGCTATACTTCCCATTAGCTTCAGTAAATTCGCTTTTCATCAGGCCCACAGTTTTATAAAAAGGATAAGGCTCAATGGAATTCATTCTCATTCTTTCAATAAATCAAACTGATGTCCATCTTACTGCTCAGGGAAGAGCCTATGCATGAACTATTCCTCACATTCTAGGACTTGTCACATAAATGAATATACTACTTTTCTTATTGAAACTAACCTAAACAAAAGCCATATTTTAACAAATACATATTTGTGGGCTACTTTTTATATATTTTGAGCATTTTTATTCATCTCAGAGTAAAGGATATGGAATAAATGTCAGTAATCCTTTGGGGTATTCAGTGACCTCCTTTGGAGTTTGAGCATAACCTGAGATGTCTCGTCAAAGTCTACCTTCATATATGTACACAATTCCTATTACCTAGTACTAGCTCCGCCATGATCATTTCCAAGTCTGAATGTCTATGAGACTTAAATTACAGCCTTCAACTGTGCTTCCCTGAAGCCACAATATCAATTCATTTGTTCACTAGTTTTTTTGTCAATCAGCCAGTCAACAGATCAGAGAATGCATACAATATTTAAATGTTAAAGAGTGAAACACTTTCCTGAGTATATGCTAAATCTTTGACCATGCCCACCCTGATTGAAAACTACAAGCAGCATTTTAATAATTTAGGTTCAAATTGTTTGCCCAAACTATTTGAAGCAGAAGCATATAAGGAGAAGCGTGGTATGGAAAGAATGAAGATTCAATTCTAGTCCAATTATATATCTGGATAAATATTGTGATTCTTCATTCATGGTGGCTTTTGAGTGTCAAACCTAGGCCAGTTGCCTAGCAAGTCATTTTTTTTTCCCACCAGTCATGAGGTTTTTTTGCCCTCTGCCCTGATGATGAATGACCAAAGAATTTGATATCAAGGACTTAGGGTTAACTTAAGCCAGTTTGAAATCTAGAGATGTAAGACATTAAAAAAAAAGAGTGGAAACTTTTGATGATCTAAGAATCACACTATACTCTATCTCTGACTTGTCCTCTCTGAAATAGTACAGCAAGATTAATTTGTGGAAACTATTACCATAAAAGATTAATTTGGTAGGAAACAAAAAAGCTTTCAGTTTATGAAAGACAAAACCCTCATGTTGGTATTGGAAGCTGCAGTATTCCTAATCTCTAAGGTTGCTGTTGGATAAGGCAGTCCT